GTCGGTCTCCTCCCCCATCGTCTTATCGACTCGGCATGCCGGTAGATAGAGTCGGGGGGCAGCTTTGTCGTTGGCGTCAACATCCGGTGCACGCGCTTGTTGTGCATTGGGTTTGCTTGTCGCCGCTGCTCAGCCAGTGCTGCTGAGAACTCGCAGCGAGCTGCGCAGTGTGCGCGTAGAAATCTCACAAAGGTGCGAATGCCGCGTCCGCGAGACGCGCCGTGACCGCCTCGTCCATCGGAGACAGCCGCGAACCCGCCGAGAAGTCGTCGGAATCGCAAACCGTCGACCGATCCTCCCGCGATACAGATCCGACCGGCACAAACACCGTCGTAGGCGACGATGCGCCAAACCATCCTCCTCCTCGCGCTGGGCGCGGCGAGCGCCCTGCCGTTCATGGCCGCCAAGCAGGTGGCCGCGGGCGACAAGGTGCCGTCCGTCGAGCTCGACCTCGGCTTCCCGCCGTCCAAGGTCGACCTCGCCGCGCACGTCGCGGGCAAGAAGGTCATCCTCATGGGCCTGCCCGGCGCCTTCACGCCGACGTGATCCAGCGTCCAGATCCCCGGGTACCTCGCAGCGCAGGGCGCGCTCAAGGACCGGGGGATCGACGAGGTCATGGTCTTCTGCGTCAACGACGGCGCGGTCATGACCGCGTGGTCCAAGGACCAGGGGGCCGACGACTCGCTCCTCACCTTCTACGGCGACCCGGCGGGGAAGCTCACGAAGGCCCTCGGCGTGCTCCTGGACCACCCGGGGCCGTCGGGCAAGGGCCTGCTGATGCGGTCGAAGCGCTTCGCGGCCTACGTCGTCGACGGCGTCGTCAAGGCCGTCGAGGTCTCGGAGAAGCCCGACGACCCCGCCGGCGACGACTTCCCCGAGAGCTCGTGCGTCGAGAACATGCTCACGCACATCGACGCCCTCGCCAAGTCCGAGCTCTAAGCCGCGGAGCCGCGCGCGCGCGCGCGCCGGCGGACGGCCGCGGCCGCCCCGGCCGACACGCCCGCCGCCCGCCGGTCTCACTTGATGACGCGCCGGTCGCCACCACCACGGCACCGGACGCCGACGTAGCCGCGCCGGATCGCGACGCCCTCGCGATTCGGCGCGGGACGAGACCGCGGGCGGCCGGCGTCGGCGGGGCGGCTCCGGCCGCTCGTCGACGCAGCCGCGACGCCGCAGACGTAAGGAACTGCGTCTGTAGTCTAGGCTCGCTGTAGAGGCTCGCTGCGTACTCTAGAAGGCTGACGCGATTGATTTAAAATGCCGCGACGGCGCGCGAACGAACGAACGGCTAGATCTCGATGTGGCCCGGCGAGTCGCTTCTCCGCCGCGACCGCGGCGACGGCGACCGCGAGCCGCCCTCGCTGTCGTAGCCCCGGCAGACGAAGCGGACCGCCCGCCCCGAGAGCCGGCAGCGGAGTCCCGCGCTGTTCTCCCTGGTGAGCAGAGCGCTGGCGACGCCGTAGCGCAAAATCAGGTGGTAGCCGTGGAGGAGCAAGTCCCGTTCAATCTCGACCCGCTTCTTCTCGTCCAGGAGCAGGGGCAAACGGGCGGATCCAGGCGTGACGCGGCAGGACTTTTTGATCGAGGTGATGAGCGCGTCGACGTCGACGGTCACGGCTTTCTTGAGGGAGCGCGGGGTCTTAGGGCTGCGCGCTGGCGCCGTCGCGACTCCCATGGTGCTGCAAATGCCTTTGCTCCTGCGATAAATACTGGTGTCACGACGAAGCGGCGTCGTAGATCGTGCAAGCGTTGGCTCAGATCTGCCCGCCCTGGACCCCGGCCAACCACCGCACCATGCCTCGGCCGCCCGTCGAGAGCGCGGCGACGCAGTCCGTGGCACCAGGAGGCTTTTGGCGTGTGCGAAGCGCCGTCGTGTCGTCGATCAGGCCAGCCCCATCGCTGGTGGCGGGATCGGTGGTGCTGCAGGACCTTGGAGGGCATTTTTGCCGCTATTCACCCCCGCGGCGCAAGCCGCTTCGCCTTCCTCAAGGTGACAGGACAGCACACGCAGCCGGTGCAAAGCCGAAGGCAGACGACCAGCGACCCGCAGCGATGCGGTTCAACCGCCTCCTGGCGGCCCTCGCGGCGCTCACCGTAGCCCGCGCCTTCGTCGCCCCGAAGAGCGCGCGAATTTTGGCGACGAAGCGGCCCAGCACGGTCAGAACCGACAAGGACCCCGACGTCAGTGATGTCGCGCAGTTCCTCGGCGACCTCCCCGCCCCCCCGGTGCTCGTGCCCGTGGACCCGCTCCCCGAAATCGTCGTCGCCCCCGTCGACGACGAGCAGGAGGCCGCCGCCCGCCGGGCCGTCCACACCACCGAGGCGGAGCGGCGAAAACGGGGGGCCTTCGGCGCGCCCTCCGACGCCAACTGGACGCTCTTCGCCTTCCAGAAGAGCCAGGAGGCCGCGGTCTACGACGACATCTTGGACTTCCTCAACGTCGACGCCCCCGACGAGCAAAAGGACGAGGCGCCGGCGAAGACGGTCGACCGGCGCCGCGTCGCGGACGTCAAGGAGGGCGAGGGCCCCTCCATGGTCTCCGAGCTCAGCGCCTTCACGCTGCCGCTCCTCCTGGTCTGGCTCTCGTCGCCGCTCCTGTCCCTCGTGGACACGGCGTCCGTCGGCGCGCTCCGCGCGACGTCCGAGCTGGCGGTCCTCGGGCCCGCGTGCGCGTTATGCGACAACGCGGCGTTCCTCTGCACGTGCCTCGGCATCGTCACGACGGGCGCCGTGTCCCGCGCCATGGCCACGAGCGACGAGGCCGCGGCGCGCACGGCGTCGGCCGCGGCGATGGCCGCGGCCGTCGTCGTCGGCGCGAGCCTGACGCTCGCAGCGTTCGCGGGTCCCGGCGCGGGCGCGCTGGGCCTCTTCCTGCCGCGGCAGAACCCCTTCTTCCCCGAGGCGCTCGGCTACGTGCAGGCCCGGGGCCTGTCCTTCGTGCCGGGCCTGCTGTTGATGGTGCTCCAGTCGACGTCGCTCGCGCGGCGGAACGTCCGCGCGCCGCTCCGCGCGGCGGCCTACAGCGCCTGCGCGAACCTCGCGGGCGACGCCCTGCTCGTGCCCCGCTACGGCCTCGTGGGCGCCGCGGCGGCGACGTCCGTCGCCCAGTGCGTCGCGTTCGCGGAGATGGCGCGGTCCGCCGTCGTCGGGCGCTGGCTGCCGGGCGCGGCGAGGAGCTGGCGCGCGGCCGCGGGCGCGCCGCTCCGGCGGCTCGCGGCGCGGGGCCTGCCCGTGCTCGCGGCCCTGAGCTCGAAGACGTCCGTGTTGCTGGGGCTGTCCTACGCGGCGGCGGCCGCGGCGACGGGCCGCGGGCAGCTCGCGGAGCTCGCGGCGCACCAGATCCTCGTGGGCCTCTACTTCGTGTTCGCGCCCATCGGCGACGCCCTGTCGCAGACGGTCCAGACCTTCCTGCCGCGGTCCATGGTCGCGGACGCGACGCGCGGCGAGACGCGCGCCGGGAGCCGGTCGCTCGGCGCGGCGAGCCGCCGCGTCGTCAAGGGCGCGCTGCTCGCGGCGCTCTTCCTCGGCGGCGTCGACGCGCTGGCGGCGACGGGCCTGCCGTCGTCGTTCCCGGGCCTCTTCTGCGGCGACGCCGTCGTCGCGGCGCACCTGAGGGCGACGGCGCCGTACCTCGGCCTCTGCCTCCTGTTCCACGGCTTCTCGTCGGCCATGGAGGGCACGATGCTCGGCACCCAGGACGACGTCACCCTCGGCAGCCTCTACGCCGTCGACGCCGCCCTCGTCGTCGGCGCCTTCTTCCACCTCGCGGCGACCGCCGCGCCGCTCGCCGCGATCTGGAAGACGTTCCTCGGCTACCAGGTCCTCCGCTCGACGCAGTTCGGCATCCGCGTCGCGTCGACGGCGCTCCGGAGGCGCAAGCGCGGGCCGGACTTCAAGCTCGCGTAGCGCGAGTGCCGAGGCCCCTGTACATAAGTTCGTCGTCGTAACGCCGCGCGATAGGTCGCCGCGTCGCGCGGCGCGAGCGCCGGGTACGCGCCCGGCGCGCGCGCGCGGAAGTCCGCGGCGACGCCGTCGAAGAGGTCGAGGTCCAGCGCGTTCGCCGCGAAGAGGCGCTCGAGCGCGGCCGGCGCCGGCGCCCAGCCCGGGGGCCGCGCCGCGGAGCCGCCGCCGCCGAAGGGCGACTTCCTCGCGAAGTCGGGCACGGTCCGGTTCGCGCCCTCGGCGTCGGGGAAGACGGGCGCCCGGCCGCCGTCGGCGCGGAAGCAGAGCCGCGCCGCGGCGTACGCGACGGACGCGGGCGACTCGAGGTACTCGGTGACGAGCACGACGAGGCCCTCGAGCCCGCGCCGCGCGTCCGCGAGGTCCCCGGGCACCAGCGGCCGCAGCGGCGCCGACGCGAAGGAGCGCACGTAGTAGTTCTCCAGGACCGTCCAGAGCCGCGTGGCGCTGTGGCCCTTCGAGCCCGCGCCGTGCTCCGCGACCCAGGCGTCGAACTCGACGGGCGGAGTCCGGCCCGGCTTGATGCCCGCGCGGCCCTCGTACCTGCGAAAAGAGTGTGTTTCGTCGTTGTGACCACCGAAGCGCTCACCAGTAGCGACTGAGGATGCGATCGATGGGGTGGCGGAGGATGGTGACGACGACGCCGCCGCGGTCCCGCAGCGACCGCAGCGACGGCGACGCGCGCGCGAGCGTCTCGGCCTCGACGATGCGGAAGTTCGCCTTCGGCCAGAGGTGGCTGAAGACCGAGAGACCGGGCCCCTTGATCGATTTCGCGCCCGTGCCGCGCATGTGGAACAAGAACGCGCCGCACGGCCGCTCGCAGCCCTCGCCCAGCGGCGCGCACGGCACGCGGAAGCGCCCCGCGTTCGCCAGGCACGCGCTCGACGCCGCACAGGTCGGCTCGTCCCTCGCGGTCGACGCGGCCACGAGCACGAGGGCTGCCAAGAGCATCACGATCGGCAGCTCGTTCAGGGAAACCAACGACGTTTCCCCTCACGTTGAACTTGAGAGTCGGAATGTCGCAATTTACGCCACGCCGCCTACTTGAGGCCGCCGCCCTTCTTCGCCGAGTTCCGCGTCGCGCCCGCGGAGCCGCCGTACTTGCCCGTGCCGCGGAGCGCGGGGTCGCCGCGGTTCTGGACGCGGCGGTACATGCGGTTCAGCGTCTTGGCCTTGAGCTCGTCGCGCGTCAGCGGCCGCGTCTCGCCCTCGTCGTCGTCGTCCTCCTCCTCGGACGAGTAGTCCTCGAGCTTGGGCGGGTTCACGTGGATGAGGTCCTGGCCCATGGGCGTCGTCGGGCCCATGCCGAGCACGGACGGCGGCGGCGCGGCGCCGGCGACGTCGGCGGCCTCGGCGCTCGTCTGCTTGTGCTGCCGCGCCTTGACGGCGACGTAGTCCTTGATGATCGTGTTGCACTGCTCCTCGATGATCGCGAGGTACGACAGCATGTTCGCCTCGGTCACGGACGAGTCGGCGAAGATCTCGCTGGACGCGCGCTCGCACTGGGTCTTCGTGAAGGCCGACGCGATGGCCTTCTTGAGGGAGTCGATGACGGCCTGGTACTCCTCGCACTTGGACTCGTACTTGGACGCGTTCGCCTCCGTCGTCGCGAGCTTCGACTCCAGGTCCAACAAGATGAGCTTGTGCTGGTTCACGTCGTCGCCGCTCTCCTGCGTGTACTTGGCCTGCTCGTCCTGGAGCGCCTGGACCTGCTCCTCGAGCTTCTCGATCTCGTTGGTCTGCTCGTTGACGTAGTTGAAGAGCGAGAAGTTCTGGTCCTCGTTCTTGATGAACATGCGGACGAGCTCGTCGATCGCGGAGATGCCCGTGGCGGCCTTGATGCGGTTGAAGGCCTCCTCGAAGTTCTGGACGCGCTCCTCGCCGACCTGGAGCTCGAGCTTCTCCTTGGAGACGCCGCCGCCGCCCTTCGGTTTCGACTTCTTGCCGCCGGGCCCGCGGCCGTCCGCCGCGGCCGGGTCGCCGCCCGCGGTCCCGCCGTTGGACTTGGCCGTGCCCGGCGCGCCGTTGCCGAGGAGCGTGGGCGGCGGCACCTGGAGCTCGTTCTCGAGCACGCGGCCGAGCTCGACCATCTGCGCCTCGAAGTCGTCCTGCTCCTTGCGGTTCGCCTGCTCGATGGCCGCGATCTCGAGCTGGTAGTTGTCGCGGTGCTCGTAGGCGTTGTTGCTGATCTCGATGACGTTGGCCATCTGCTTCTTCTTCTCGTGGAGCTCGCGCTCGAGCTTGCGGTAGATGTTGTCGAAGACGACGCGCTCGCGCCGGAGGTCGTCGATGGCCTCGCGGAGCGCCTTGTTCTTCGCGAGCGCCTGGTTGAACTTGACGAGCGCCTGGTCGAGGCGGTTCTCTAAGATCTTGATCTGCTTCTGGACCATGGCCTGGTTCTCGCGCGCGGCGTTGACGCCGCCCATCGTCTTCCGCTGCTGGATCGTGCGCATCTTGATCGTGGAGATCTGCTCGTCGAGGTACTCGATGCGCTTCTGCTCGTCGGACATGAGGCGGGCGAACTTCTCGCTCTCCTCCTGGAGCCGCGCGTTCTTCTCCGTCGACTCGTTCGGCTTCAGCGTCGAGTGCCGCGTCTCCATGCCGAGCTCCTGCTTCAGGGCCTCGTTGTCCTTGCGCAGCTTCGCGATGGTCGCCTGCTGCTTCCGCAGCACGCTGTAGGACTCATCGGCGTAGGATTTCCGATTGAGTTCCATGTGGCGGTACTCCCGCTGGAGCTGCGCGAACTCGCTCTGCGACTTGTCCGCCATGGTGTCGCTCGAGCGGCCGCGCCGCGGCGCTTTCTATGGAGGCGTTCGAGCCGGTCGCACGGCGGCGGGGGCGGGGCTGCTCTTCCCCGTGGGCGACGACGACCGCGACGGCGACGACGACCTCCGGGAGCTGTCGCGCGCTTCACCCAACAGCCAGCGCGCCCGCCCAGCCCGACGGGTAGCGCTGTCGATGCAATTGAGGATATGTGAAGTTTGTAATTTAGGCTTATGGTACCGCGCTAACTCAGTCGACTTCGCGCGATGGCCTCCTCTTCGAAAAAGATCACGGTGACGATCGCCGACGGGTCCGGCAAGGCCTGCCGCATGCAGATCAAGGCCGACGCCACCGTCGAGGACCTGGCGGCGCGCTACGGGCGCTTCCGCGCGCGCGCGAGCGAGGCCGACGACGACGCCGATCCGCCGCGCTTCCGGCTCCACCGCGACGACGGCGAGGCGCTCAAGCCGACGCTGGCGGCGTCGGCCCTCGAGGGCGAGCTCCTTATGGCCGTCGCCGTCGACGAGCGCGGCGCGCCGCTGGCGCCGCCGCCCGCGCCCGCGGCGCCGGAGCCGGCGGCCAGCGGCGCGCCGCCGCCCGCGCCCGCGCC